TGAGCCACGCCCAGGACCTCGTGGCCAAGCTGCGCTCCCTGCAGTTCGACCAGCGGGAGTTCGTGTGTCTGAAGTTCCTGGTGCTCTTCAGTTTAGGTAAGCGGTCTCCTCCTCCTGCGCGTGGTGCCCGGCTCGGTGGGTTCTTCCCGTCCACGCGTGGTTTCCGTTCACCGAGACCATGCCCTTCCCCCCACGTGAACGTGTCTGTGTGTCCGCATGGTTCTGGGACAGGCTGGGTGCGGAAGAGGCGGTGTGAGTCCAGCGATGGCGAACCTTTTGAGCTCGGCGTGTCAGCATTTTGAAAAACCCTAACTTAACTCTGGTGCCGTGTCACATACAGAAATTTTTTGATCTTTGCAACCATAGTAAAACAAAGACTTATATTTTTGATATTTATTTTATATATTTGAATGCCATTTAACAAAGAAAAATCAACCAAAAAAAATGAGTTCGCGTGTCACCTCTGACAGGCGTGTCATAGGTTCGCCATCACTGTGTGAGTCTGAAATCCTGAGTTTTCTTCCTTCGTGTCCTTGACGAGGCGGTAGCATCACATGACGTTCAGCGGAGATCATTTAGGCCGGACGGAGGGTGTCAGAGTTCAGCCGTCTTTCTGCCCTGGATCGTCTCTGCGAGTCTTTCGCTTCCGCTTGCTACCTGGGCTGTGTTTATTCTTGCGAAACATGAATCATAATAATTAAGAACCTGTTTCTTTTTTAAAATATATATATTTCTATTGATGTCAGAGAGGAAGGGAGAGGTAGAGGAAGAGAGAAACATCCACGATGCGAGAGAATCACGGATCGGCTGCCTCCTGCACGCCCCACACTGGGGATCGAGCCCGCAACCCGGGCCTGTGCCCTTGACCGGGAACCGAACCCTGACCTCCTGGTTCCTGGGTGGATGCTCACCTGCTGAGCCACGCCCGCCCGGCAAGGTGTGTCTTAAGTCTCCCTGGGGGTTCACCAGGAGGTGCCGGTACCCAGGCACCGCTCCGCGAGGGGAGAAGATGCTGGCTGTCCGGGGGGAAGGGGCTGCGTCCGGGGAGCTTTGCAGAAGAAAGATAACTAACAAGACAGATTAGCGAAACCAAGGTTCCCCGAGAGCCCGCCGAGAGCAGCCCGCTCGGTTTGCAATAAAAAGGGGATTAAGGAGATGGATTTTTATTGACTTCAAAGCAGCGGATTTTTCTGCCTGTCCTGCCCTTGGTTTCTGCACTGGGTTGGCCTCATAAAACAAACTTAAATAAACTTCTCGCCCAGTCCACTTATTACGTATTGGCAGGCGGCGGCCGAGCGAGGCCACGTCCCTCCGATGAGAAGGAGGGGAAAAAAAAAAGTGCAGGAATCAGATCGACCAACATATGTTTTGCCTTTAGTCTCCCGCTCTACGCGGGCCGCGCGCTCGCATCCTAAGAAATGAAGTAACACAGCGCGGCGGCGGCACGAGCCAGACGTGCCCGCGCTCCGGCCGGGCCCCTGGGTTTGCAAATGCCTCCTGACGTCCCCGCACAACTGTTGCTCATCAGACGGGCGTCTGAAGCAATAGAGCCAGGGTCCCCGTTCAAAGGGAGTCAGCGCTTCCCGGGGAGGGAATGTCCGTGTGTTGTTGTTTTTTTCGCTCGTGCGGAAAAAGGGGATCAATATCGCGGGAAGGAACGGGGCCGAAAATGCGGGGCGACAACGGGACTCCAGGGAGGCCGCGCTCCCAGGCTGGGCCGAGCCCGGGCCCGATCCCCAGCGCTTTCGGGACTAACCGCCGTCCGTAGGAACGTCCCAGCCACGCCAGCCCCCGTCTCTCACCCCGGAACAGCCTTGGGGAGGTGAGGGGACCCTGGCGAGCGTAGGCCCGCTTGCTGGCACCTCCCAGGGTCACCTGGGGACTCGCGCATCTCATGGGTGATGAAACGCAAAATGCGGGGGTCAGGTGGGTGAGGGGCCTTCCGGCATCTGGTGGTGGAGCTCTCTCGCTCTGGCGGCGAGAAGGACGCGTTGACACAGGGCGTGACGTTGGAAGAAGTAGAGATGGCCCTGGCCGGTGTGGCTCAGTGGATAGAGCGTCGGCCTGCAGACTGAAGGGTCCCAGGTTCAATTCCGGTCAAGGGCACGTGCCTGGGTTGTGGGCTCACACATGCTCGCACACACACACACACACACACACACACATCACATGCACACACATGTGCACACACCAGATCACACGCACATGCACACATCACATCACACATCACACGCACACACCAGATCACATGCACACGCACATCACACGCACACGCATGCACACGCACTTGCACACACACACACCACTGGCCCGTGAAGTCTCCTGAGGCAGATGTCCGCCCGCCCCTTTCCCCAGGCGTGTTGGTTCCCAGCTCCCCATGAAGTCACATAAGCATCGGGGGTCCCCCCCACCCCCCACCCCGTTCTTCTTACAATTCGCACCCCCCTCTGTCGTCGCCTCCGCACGCGTGACATTCTAACTTAGGGAAGCCCCTCGCTGGCCACTTGTCAGAGGGCCCCGCACGCCTTCACAGGGCGCCCGGCCGGCAGGTACCTCCCCTCCGAGGCAGCTGGTGCTCGTCTTAATTAAACGCGCCGTAATGGGCGTTGTGCGGGGTTTTTTTCTGCTGCTGCTTTCCGTGTGCGAAGCAGTTTAGCAAGGCCCAGCGATCACTCACGCCGGGGCTCTGAGCCTGGACTTAATCAATACGTGATTTACGGTCGCGGGAGCAGGCGCGGCCATTCGTTCGCCGCCGGCCGGAGGCTCAGAGCCGGGATCTTGGCTTTTCGGGCCCGTTTCGGAGCAGCTCCCGCCTGAGAAATGTCGGTAGTTGTTGTTTTTTGGGTGTTGCTCTTCATGCTGTAGCCGCGGGAGCAGGCGCGGCCAAGAGCCGGGATCGCGGCTTTTCGGGCCCGTTTCGGAACAGCTCCCGCCTGAGAAATGGTGGTAGTTGTTGTTTTTTGGGTGTTGCTCTTCATGCTGTCATTTCGCTAAATACCGCACTGGGGGGGGGGGGGGGGGGGGGA